TTTTTTTTTTTTTTTTTTTTTTTTTCTTTTTTGGTGCCAGGGATTGAATTGAGGACCTTGTGCTTATGAGGCAGGCAGCAGAACCACTGAGCTAAACCCTCCCTGGACTGGGTTTCTTTTCCCTTAGTTAAGGCTGAAAGAATGTCAAGGAGAATCTCTTTCTAAACCACTTGAGTCAAGATTCAATTTCTGCATGTACAGGACATTATAAACACTATCTCTGATAGATTCATATTGAACTATTTTAGTTCAATACTATCAAAGAAATAGAAACTAAGACCCTTACAAGATAGAAACTGGAATTAGCAATAAAAACTCTGACTTTTTGAAAGGATCATTTTCCTGCTGACTCAAGAAGCTTCTCTCATCTGGTGTCCTGAAGCTTCTATCATTATCTGAGACAGCCACACACTCCCCAGTGCTAACGGCTACCTCTAACATGAATCTCCTCTAAAGGAAATCTGCTCCTTGAAAAAGGACAGCATAAAAGATGTACCGAAAGCATTTTACTGTTAAAAAGCAAAGATAAGTCAGGGAGTGGCGTGCTCCTATAGCCCCTACTACTCAGGTTGAGGCAGGAAGATGGCTCGAGCCCTAGAGTTCAGGGTCAACCTGGACAACACAGCAAGACCTCACCTCTCTAAAACAATAAAATGTATTTTTGTTTTCAGGAATCCTTTAGAAAAGATTAAAAAAAAAAAAAAAGCCAACCAAATGAAGGAAGACCATCTAGTGGACAAATTGTGAAACATCAAATTCAGGTAACTACGATTCATTAGAACAGAGGCTGAATGGCATCGTGAGTATAAAAAGATTAAAATAGGGTGCTGGAAATGTAGCTCCATGGTACAGCACTTGCTTACCATATGAGAAGCTCTGAGTCACCCCCACAAACACATGGCAAAATAAATAAACAGATAGAGAGGCATGCAGGCACACAGGCAAGACATACACCTACATGTTAGAGAAGAGACGAACCTTCCACTGTGTGATTTCACAGTTTGAAGGTACAAGGACTGGTTTAAAGTTTAAAAGTTGAAACGCTGATTTTACATAATATCCTCTCACTAGAAAATGAAAATGGTTACTGAGTTAATGGAAAGAGATATATGCTGTGTTACTATCTAAGATGGTAAGATTTCCCCTTTTTTCCCAATTTTTTGTGGGGTTGTTTTGAGACAGGGTTTCGCTATGCAGTAGCGAAGCCTCCAACTCTGGAGGATCCTCTGCCTGCCTCATACCTCCAGAGTGCTGGGATTATAGGCCTGAGTCACCATGCCTGGGGGAAGATTTCCCTTTTTTTTTGGTTGGTACCAGGGATTGAACTCAGGACTCTGCACTTGAGAGGCAGGCAGTGTCACCACTGAGCTAAATCCCCAGTCCCAAGATTTCCCTTTTTTAAAACAAAAAGACGAGTGTGGCTTGATGACGCATGCCTGTAATCCCAGTACTCGGGAGGCTGAGGTAGGAGGATTACTGTGAGTTCAAGGCCAGCCTGGGCTACATAGTGGGTGCAAGGCCATCTCGACTATACAGCAAGACCTAGTCTCAAAACAAAAGAGCAGAATTCTGACTTGAAAGGTCAAAGGTACTGAAACTTACATAGCAGGACCAAAGAAGAGGTTTGAAATCAACCTAAACCTGAGCTTCTGGAAAGAAGTGGCCCTGGGGAAATGAACTGTGGACTCTTGCGCTAAGGATGCCCTGACTTTGGTCACTTGAACTTGCTGAGCAGGCACTTACATTCAAAGAAGCTAAGAGGACATAAAAGTCCCACAAGCTCCCTAAGGCACCCTGTGGAGTCTTCACCCAGTTCAGACAGTACGCAGCAGGGGCAAAGATGTGTGTGTGTTGTGGCCACTGACTTCCTAAGCCATCCTCCACAGTGGTATGTTATGGTCTATATCTAGACGTACCCCCAAAGCCTCGTGTTCTCAGAGGTGGCACTTTTGAGAGGTGACTGGATGAGGGGTGACACTGGATTAGTCCACTGATGATTTATAGCTGGATGTGAGGCCGGGAGGGGAGGCCTGGTGGGAGGAGGTGGGTCACTGTAGGTTGGGTTCTGCCCTGAGCAGTCACTACTTCCTACCTGCCCTAACACAACTGCTTCTCCCCTGCCATGTTGCCCTGCCTTGGAATCAGCCAACTGTGGACTGAAACCTCCACAAACTGTAAGCTAAAACAGATCTCTCCTCCTTTAAC